AGAAGTGCCAAGCCCTGGGCCACAGAGCTGCAAATGGCAGAGCCAGTGCCCACCTGACTCTAGTTTCCCGGCCTCCTGGATGTGCCCGTGAGGCCACCGCCCTATGATGTGGGCCCATCTGCTGTTGTGTGGTGGATGTGAGATCCTCACCCTAGGGAGGATATTAGGGTCTATGCCCAGGGCTGGGAGAGCTGCCTGGATTTCCGTTTAATGGGGGAGCTGGGGTAGGAGTCACGATCCCCTTGACTAGCTGGGTGTATTTCAGGGATGGGACAGGCTTCTGAGCATGGCACAGCAGGCCAGGCCTTTGGGGGCTCCTGAGACTTCCTTGTCCCCAGTAGAGGGTCATGCTGAGGGAGGGCAGTCTGTGCCCAAGGTGACCTTGCTGTCTGGTGCCCTCTAGCCGGTTACCTGTCCCCTGCAGTGGCGGGCTTCCTGTAAGTGGATGTTAAAGGCCCATCCAGTTAATGGAGAGCTAGCAGGTCACCAGATTTAAGGTGCAGAGGCCCTGCTGCCTGTCACCCTGGCTGAGCCCAGTGCGCGGGTTCCCAAGGGCTGGGACTCCCAGGGCCCGATGGGAAAGTGTAGCCTGCAGGCCCACACCTCCCCCTGTGAATCACGCCTGGCGGGACAAGAAAGCCCAAAACACCCCAAACAATGAATTTCCAGTAAAATATGACAGACATGATGAGGCGGAGGAGAGGAGGGACCTGACTGGGAGTTGGCCCTAGCTTGTGGGTGATGAAAGCCTAGGGGAATGGAAGGTGCCAGGCCCGCCCCCTACCCATGAGTATAAAGCACTCGCATCCTTTTCCAGTTTACCCGGCACCTTCTCTTCTCTCAGCCAACGCTCGCTCGCTCACCTCCTCCTCGGCACCATGACCACCTGCAGCCGCCAGTTCACCTCCTCCAGCTCCATGAAGGGCTCCTGCGGCATCGGGGGCGGTTCCAGCCGCATCTCCTCCGTCCTGGCTGGAGGGTCCTGCCGTGCCCCCAGCAGCTACGGGGGTCTGTCTGTCTCCTCCTCCCGCTTCTCCTCTGGGGGAGGCTTTGGGCTGGGGGGCGGCTATGGCGGTGGCTTCAGCAGCAGCAGCGGCTATGGCGGTGGCTTCGGGGGAGGATATGGTGGTGGCCTTGGTGCTGGCTTTGGTGGTGGCCTTGGTACTGGCTTCGGTGGTGGCCTTGGTGCTGGCTTTGGTGGTGGTGATGGGCTTCTGGTGGGCAGTGAGAAGGTGACCATGCAGAACCTCAACGACCGCCTGGCCTCCTACCTGGACAAGGTGCGTGCCCTGGAGGAGGCCAACGCCGACCTGGAGGTGAAGATCCGGGACTGGTACCAGAGGCAGCGGCCCACCGAGATCAAGGACTATAGTCCCTATTTCAAGACCATCGAGGACCTGAGGAACAAGGTGGGTGAATGGGCAGCAGAAGGTGCCATTCTGGCTAGCTCCTTCTGGGAACAATAGATGCCTCGGGTCGCTGGCACCTTTAGATGTCTCTGTAGGACAGAGTCCACCCCAGATCTCTTCTTTTGTGGTCTCAGATGCCCTAAGAGCTGATCAGTGAGAAGATGCTCTCCCTTCCCCAGCCTCCTCATCTGCATCTGCTCTCAAATCCTCAGAGCAGTGATTCCTACCCTTACATTTTACACAGGAAGCAAAAAGCAGTTGAAGCTTTGAGAGGTGCTATGATCAGCTGCAGGTCACATAGCAGATTAAAGGCTTGTACCCTACCTTCCAGCACAGGAGGCAGCTCGCTGTCCTCCAGCACAGGGGAGGGGCGAGGCTGTAACGGGACCAGGCAAGACATCCAAACCGCTCTTTAGCTCACTAGTCTGGGCTGTGGCTGCCGCCGCCCATAAGCTTTGTACAGGCTGGTCCCTCCCCACAGCCAAGCGGGCATGGAGAGCCTGCAGGGACAATCAGTGTGGCTCCCTGATGTGCCCTGCACAGAGGGAGCTGGCAGGCTTGTGCCCTCTGACTCCAGCCCCTTCCTCCCTGCTCCCACATCACCTGGGAGCCCGCCCTCCGGGAGTCTGCTGGGCTCTAATGCCTTGCATGGATTAAGGCAATTCAGTGATGATGTGGGCACTCCAGCCAGGCTCAGGGGCAATATGTCTTCTTCTTCTTCCCCTGAGTCCTCTTTTCTAATCCCCTGTGCCAATTGGGTCTTATCTCTTGAGAAAGTCCCACTTGAGGTCCCATGGGCTGTGAGCTTGAAAAGGAATGTGCATATCTACAGAGGACTGGCAGGGCTGGCTGACACAGAGAGGAGAGAGGCCAGCTCAGGAAGGAGGGCTAGGGAGCCTCAGATTATTCTCCCCACCTGGAGGTGGGGAACTTGAAGCTCCAAGACCCATTAGGTTTTATAGCAAGTCAAGAGCAGAATTGGAACCAGAACTCCTGGGTTTTTTATTCTAAGCCCAGGGCAGCTTCTACCCCTTCTGCTGACCATGAGTTAGCAAAGTCTTAGGACAGGCCTGGGTCACCTGGGGTTTTCCTTTAGGATGCTGTGGTCAAGTTTTGTGAAGAGGGAAATTCAGGCAAGAGCTTAATGTAGGTTACAGTGAAGCCGGGCTTGGGAAGTGCATTTGAAAAATGACCTGTGCCCTTTCCATCCTGCAGATCCTCACAGCCACAGTGGACAATGCCAACGTCCTTCTGCAGATTGACAATGCTCGTCTGGCCGCGGATGACTTCCGCACCAAGTGAGTTTGCAGCGGTGGGCCAGAACACTCAGTGTTGGCAAAGTAGGGCATTTTTGAGCAGTGTTTCCCAAATAGAACTAGCTGGTGCCAGGATAGCTGCATGAAAACTCCTTAGGGTGCTTGTAAAAGAATAAGACTCTTGGGCCCCACCCTTGGAGTTTTGATTCATCTATTTATAGCAGGTTTCCTGGGTGATTCTGGTCCACAGCCAGGTTTCAGAACCGCTGCTTAGGGAGAGGCACTTCCCACTTCCCCAACTGCCCTTGAAGTATAGGAGGGAATCATAGTTGGAGGACTTAACGCATTATTTGTTGGCTGAAGCTAGAAGCGCAACCTCCTCCTGAATTCTGCAGCAAGATGAACTGCCTTATCCCCAGGCCCCAGGAATGTTCATATCTGAGCAATCAATGGGCACTGTGTCCAACCACGCCATTTTCAAGACTGATTCCTTAACCCACCCACAAGGCGCCAGTGCTGGGAGAAGCTGGAGGGAAAGGAGAACAAAGCCCTCACTGTGGTGAGGATGGGTGTCTCATTCCTTTTCTCTGGGGTCATTCCAGGTATGAGACAGAGTTGAACCTGCGCATGAGCGTGGAGGCCGACATCAACGGCCTGCGCAGAGTGCTGGACGAACTGACCCTGGCCAGAGCTGACCTGGAGATGCAGATTGAGAGCCTGAAGGAGGAGCTGGCCTATCTGAAGAAGAACCATGAGGAGGTGAGGACTCTATGGAAAAGCCAGCTTAAAGGAGGTGCAGGGAGGTTGGACACGGTGGTGCGTGCCATAGTCCCAGCTACCTGGGAGGCTGAGATGGGAGGATCTTTTGAACCCAGGAGTTTGAGTTCAGCCTGGGCAACAGCTAAAGCCTATCCAGAGAGAGAGAGAGAGAGAGAGAGATAGAGAGAGATAGAGAGAGAGAGAGAGACAGAGTAGGGAGGGTCAAGATATAATTGTGATGGTGTGATGGTGGGAGGGCACTATTCAGGCCTGACTAGGGAACTCCAATCCACTTTCATGGTGGAACTCCTGACCGTGGACTGTCCCTGGTTGTGCAGGAGATGAACTCCCTGAGAGGCCAGGTGGGTGGAGATGTCAATGTGGAGATGGACGCTGCCCCAGGCGTGGACCTGAGCCGCATCCTGAACGAGATGCGTGACCAATATGAGAAGATGGCAGAGAAGAACCGCAAGGATGCCGAGGAATGGTTCTTCACCAAGGTGGGTGTCATTTGAGGTGCAAGCAGCCCAGACCACCTGCCTTCTGGGGCCTTCTGGTGTGAACGGCATTCTCTTCTTTTGCAGACAGAGGAGTTGAACCGCGAGGTGGCCACCAACAGCGAGCTGGTGCAGAGTGGCAAGAGCGAGATCTCGGAGCTCCGGCGCACCATGCAGAACCTGGAGATCGAGCTGCAGTCCCAGCTCAGCATGGTAGGAGCCCTGCCAGGTGCGATGGTGAGCCCAGGACTGGCAGGGAGAGAACAGCTCACTCACTAATCCTTGATTCTCTTTCCCTTCCTCACAGAAAGCATCCCTGGAGAACAGCCTGGAGGAGACCAAAGGCCGCTACTGCATGCAGCTGGCCCAGATCCAAGAGCTGATCGGCAGCGTGGAGGAGCAGCTGGCCCAGCTTCGCTGTGAGATGGAGCAGCAGAACCAGGAGTACAAGATCCTCCTGGACGTGAAGACCCGGCTGGAGCAGGAGATCGCCACCTACCGCCGCCTGCTGGAGGGCGAGGATGCCCAGTGAGTCTCAGCCCTGCCCATAGTCCAGACCCCACCATGGCACTCTCACGGCCCCAGCATGTCTCTAATGATCCTGCCCTTCTCTGTCTTCACAGCCTCTCCTCCTCCCAGTTCTCCTCTGGTTCGCAGTCATCCAGAGATGGTAAGACCTTCCTCCTCATTGGGCCTGGGCTCTGGGCCACCCTCTGTACCCCAAGCAGGTCTAGGGGCTCTGTGAGGAGTTGAGCTATAGTACTCTCACCCAGTGTCCCTTGTGAACCTCCTTGGGTGGAAGAAGCTATTTTCTAAACCCTCCTTAGGGCTAGGAGAGGCAACCCCCACCTCTTACGCCTACCCGGTGTCTGTGGCAGATCCCATTGCTGTGGCGGTCAGCACCACGAACAGGGCCCTGCAGGGCTCTTCCCACCAAGACCACTCCACTGGGTCAACCAGCCGGGCGTGAGCTCTTAGGAAGCTCCAGTCCGAGGACAGAGACTCTGTCTTTGACCTTTGAGAACCCTAGTCTGAAAGAAATGTTTTGATGGTATCAGTGCTTGGGCAATAGCAGGAAGTGAAACAGTAATCGGGGAAAGGGCAACAGGGAGACAGTTGGAGTTTCCTCACCTTCTTGGCCTCCCCACTCTTGATGAGCCCATTGTCCGCCTCTGGTAACGCCCTCTCCCTGCCTCTTCCCCAGTGACCTCCTCCAGCCGCCAGATCCGCACCAAGGTCATGGATGTGCACGATGGCAAGGTGGTGTCCACCCACGAGCAGGTCCTTCGCACCAAGAACTGAGGCTGCCCAGCCCTGCTCCGGCCTAGGAGGCTCCCAGTGTGGACACAGATCCCAGTAGAAGATTCCCTCTCCTGTCCACCAAGCACTTCACACCTGGACCCTGCTTCACCCTCACCCCCTCCTGGCAATCAATACAGCTTCATTATCTGAGTTGCATAATTCTTGCCTCTGTCTGGTCATTGTTAGGAGCGGGCGTGGGGAGAAAGTGGGAGAAGGATCTCTTTGGAGCTTGTCACAGCACCTGGCTGTGGCCCCTGGGACTGGGAGAAAGGTCCTGGGGGTGGGCTGGGCTCAGGTCCCAGGATGTCTTTCGCCATCTCTGAAGACACAGATAGATGTGTGTGCCAGATCATATGTGGTGTCTCCTAGGGTACAGAGGGATATTCATTCATTTACTCACTCATTTTCGTGTGTGTCCGTTCATTCACCAGACACTGAGTGCCTCTGTGTGTCAGACACTATGCTAGCTTAAGGATTCCTAATATTTTTGTGATCAGGGATTCCTTGGAGAATATTGAAAGCTATAGATCTTTCCCTCTGCGCCCCCACCTTCAAATAAGCATACATTTGAATACAATTTCACGGGGTTTATGGGTCTTCTAGAGCTCCTTACTGGAGGTCCATGAATCCAAGGTAGGAACCCAAGCTCTCCTGACAGTCTTGTCTCCCTCTACCCACCTGCTCTTGCCTCCAGCGCTGGATCTAATACTTCCTACACTTGGTTGATCTAGGGCAAGTTGATGGCCATCTCCCAGCCTCAGCTTCCACTTCTGTAAAACGGGCACAATGAAAATAGCCACCTCATGGGCTTGTTGTGAGGATTCACTGGAAGAATGCATTTAGGGCCTCCAGCACAGTGCCTGGCATAGTGCTGGCTCAAGGCATGGCTGTTTTGGGTAAACCATCCCTAGGGCATGGTGATTATTCATCTATGATGAGAGCAAGTTTAGAAGGTTTGGGAGTAGACTGGTTTCCAACACTGGCTCTGTTCTGTAACAGCTGTGAGCTTAGAAAGTCTGAGTCTCAGTGTCCTTACTTTTATAGTAAGGATGCTGAGCCCTGTTTCTAGAGGATGATAGGAGAATTCAATGAATGACTGTACCTTAAGAGCCAGGACTGTAGGAGCCTCCCCTGGGTGGGGAATGCCTTTTCTTCTCTTTAGGGGGCTAGAAAAGGAGTGGGAAGGGAAGGAGCCTCACTCTAGTAAGTGGTGAAAATTCCAGAGGTGGGTGGGGTTGACTGCCCCAAGGTAGGAAAGAGTTGACTAGTCCTGTGTCAGTTTCAACAGCTCATTCATTTGGCTATGTGAAGGAAACTTGTAGGGGAGTCAAGGGTAGGGGAAAGATTGAAAAAAGACTGAATTTGGGCAAGGGATCTAAAAGCCTGGGCTTTTGAATCAGACTACTTGGGTTGGAGTCCTGGCTCCTACGCTCAGTCGCCTTGAAGAGTTTGGGCAAGATACTAAACCCCACATTCCTCTTTCACAAGAAAGGGAATAAACACCTTTACTGCATAAGCTGATACAGGAGTAAATGACCTCATGCAGGCAATGAATTTGGCATTGTGTTTTGCACATAGTCAGCAGCCTATAAATGATAGTAGGGTGAGTTATTCAGAAAAGGAATGAAGAGATGTTGGTTTCTCTTGTTCCCACCTCCACCCCAGGAAAAAGAAGACTGCTCTGTGTTTCTGAAACTCTGGGATTTTTTTTTTTTTTTTTTTTTTTTAGATATAGAGACGGAGGTTTCACCATTTTGGCCAGGATACTCTCGATCTCTTGACCTCATGATCCGCCCGCTTTGGCCTCCCAAAGTGCTGGGATTACAGGCTTGAGCCACTGTGCCTGGCCACTCTGGGATATTTTTTAACCTAAGTTTTGTCATCAAGAAAGGGTGACTTTGGGTGATCCCTGGGTGAGGATGGATCATCCTGGAGGTGAAGTACTAAAGTTTCAGGGGTACAGGGGACAACTCAAAAGGAGGAAGTTTTGAGGGTGCTTCCTTAGAGAACGAGAAGAGGGAGGTTTGAAGGCCCTGGAGGGTACAGGACTCCCATGTGGGGATGGGTTTTGTGATTCTTCTAGGACTGTTGAACTCTGGTTCCTAAGGTTTCCAGTTGGGCAATGAAACTCTTGCCCAAGTGTGGCAAAGAATCTCAGGAGTGGCACACATTTGAGAGGTCACATGGGTCTGGATAGAGAGCAAAGTATGGCAAGAGTCACCAGTGAGGACTGAAGCCTAGAATACCCTGAACTTCATATGAATCCCCAGACACCCTCTACCTTGGAGGTGGTGCCAGATTAAAGTCTCTGTCTCCAAAGGAGATCTGCTTTAGAGGAATATAGAAGCTTGAGATCTCTTTGACTGGGGTGCGGTGGAGCGAGCCTCCTCTCTCATGGTTGCCATCACTATTTGGAGGAAATACACAGGACAGTCGGGCTTGCTTGCGGGTAAAAATGGCGGCTGGGACCTCCTGGCTGAAAGCAGGTTCAGAACCAGGAAGGCTGGGAGGTGGTCTCAGGTGGACCCTGTATAGTCAGGCCCCAGGGTCTCACGTTGACTCTCCTCCTCCAGGGATTTCCCCAACATACCCCACTGGGGAGGGCAGGGCCGATGTTTGGATCCTGCTAATGAACAGGGCTCTGCCGGGCACGGTGGCTCACGCCTATAATCCCAGCACTTTGGGAGGCCGAGGCAGGTGGATCACGAGGTCAAGAGATCGAGACCATCCTGGGCAACAAGGTGAAACCCCATTTCTACTAAAAATACAAAAATTAGCTGGGCACTGTGGTGCGTGCCTGTAGTCCCAGCCTCAAAAAAAAAAAAAAAAAATGAACAGGGCTCTTGTCCACAGAGCCTGGCAAGCTGCAAGCATCCAGCTCAAGACATGAGCCCAGCAGCTCTGACAATGAATGGTGCTGCCTTCCCTTGGCCTCCGCTCAGCTGAACAATAGACCAGCAAAGTGACTCGATAGCACAGTCTAGTGGAGGCAGGTGGGATTGCGTCTCTGAGTCCCGGAAGGGGGCGGGGGTTGGTCAGGTGGTCTCTTGGTTCCACCTCCCTATAAACCTCTCCACCTTCCCAGCACTCAGAACCGGCAGTGCTAGGGAAGCCACTAAGACTCCTCCAACCTCACCGTAGGGAGACTGGCTTGCTCCAGGTCCTACCGGCTGAAAGTGGCAAAGTCCTGCCCATGCTCAGGCTTTTCCACATCCTGGGTGGCTTCATTCCTGTCTTGTTCTTTCTCAGGGATGAGATAAAGCTGAGTCCCATGGGATCGATGTGTATTTTTCCTAGCTTACTTCACGCTTTTTGTTTTATAGGGTGGAAGGGTGGAACCAACCTTGAAATTCTCAATCCCCTTGATTTGGGGGAGTTTTTTTTTTTAATAGTGAAAAGATCTCTAACGTGTCCAGGGAACTCTATAGGCAGCAACTGGCCTATGTGCCTACCTAATCAGGCAAAGGCACTTCCCAAGGCCACAGACAGCCTGGCTTGGGTAATGTAGCTGGCTCTTCCTACAGGCAGATGTCAGAGGAGGCAGCCCTAAGGAGGCCTGACGTCCAGAGGCTGGGGGTCCTGATGTCCTGGTGGGATGGCAGGAGGTTCCCTCGCCCACCTCACTGGAGCTTGGAGGCTGTCACAAAGGGGACAAGAGAATGTCAGGGGTTTCCAGGGTACTGGACCGGTCTCAGGCAGGTGCAGGGCAGGCATCAGGTCCTCCCCCATTGCTGTTTGCTGAGCGAGAGCTTTCCCGACGGGGCATACCTCTGTGCCACTGTCACCTGTAAGGCCGGGCCTGGGAAAGGAAGCCTTTTTCCTTTAAGGTGCTCTGATGAACTTTGGGGGTGATTTGGCCTGAGGGAGGGCAAAAAGAGACACAGAGATAGAGAGAAACAAACACATATAGAGTTGAGAGAGAGAGAGAGGGAGGGAAAGGGAGAAAGTCAGAGAGACAGAGTCAGGGAAAGAGAAGATAGTGAGGGCCCTGGGCTAGTACTAGGCAGGGAGGAGCATTCATTCACACATTCATTCATTCATTCACACATATTTATTGAAACTTACTGTTGGAGATATAGGGGAGATAGGGGTGAATTGAGACAGACTGAATAAGAAAAGAGACGACATGAGGAAGAAGGCAGAGAGGGACCCAGTGCGTGTGTGGGGCTTGGGATAGAGAGCAGGAGCTCTAAGCCTGTGTCCGCTGCAGCTCCTGCTCACGGGAGGGCAAGCTCTGGCTCCACTCCCGCCTTGTTTAGCTCTGTGACTGTGGCCAAGATATCCTTCCTCTCTGAGCCTCAATTTCCTTACCTGTCAAGTGATTTAAAAATTAACAAGCACCTCCTAAAACAGTTGGCGAAGATTAAGTACAACAGTGCAGGCAAAGCAACAAAGGTCTTGCTGCAACCCCGGGGGGTCCTTGATGGAAGGAACCATGATCCTCCAACCGTCCTGTGTCCTCCCCAGGACCCACGGGCACAGGAACAGGTCTTTGATCTTAATGGGGGCTGAATAGGCCAGAGGGATGGGCTATTAACAAGCGAGGGAGCTGAGAACCCAGGTCACTCAGACGGTCCATGGGGAAGTCGGGAGCAGCCACAATGCCACCGACAGAAAGATGTCCCACTGTGTGCCAGGCCCACACCAGCAGTTTTGCAAAATAAGCTCTTCTTTTTTTTTTTTTTTGAGATAGAGTTTCGCTCTTGTTACCTAGACTGGAGTGCAATGGTGAGATCTCAGCTCACCGCAACCTCCGCCTCCTGGATTCAGGCAATTCTCCCGCCTCAGCCTCCTGAGTAGCTGGGATTACAGGCGCGCGCCACCATGCCCAGCTAATTTTTTTTGTATTTTTAGTAGAGATGGGGTTTCACCATGTTGACCAAGATGGTCTCTTATCTCTTGACCTCGTGATCCACCCGCCTCGGCTCCCAAAGTGCTGGGATTACAGGCGTGAGCCACCATGCCCGGCCCTGCAATATGAGCTCTTCTAAGCCTCACAGCAACCTCGTGATGTTGGAACTATTTTTTTTTTTTTGTTTGAGACCGAGTCTTGCTCTGTTGCCCAGCTGGAATGCAATGGTGCAATCTCAGCTCATGGTAACCTCTGCCTCCTGGGTTCAAGCAATTCTCCTGCCTCAGTCTCCCAAGTAGCTGGGATTACAGAAGCCCACTATCACACCCAGCTAATTTTTATATTTTTAACAGAGACGGGGTTTCACCATGTTGGCAGGGCTGGTCTCGAACTCCTGACCTCAGGCAATCCAACCACCTTGGCCTCCTGAAGTGCTGGGATTACAGACCTAAGCCACTGTGCCTTGCCAAGGTCAAAACTATTTTTTTTTTCCCACTGAAATCCTTTGCTTGACTTAACTCCCTGCTGCCCTGGCTTTCACTTCGCTCGCTCCCACCTCAGGAAGTTTGCACATGCTCTATGCCCCTCCCCTTTTTCCTTCTCCTGGCTCACTTCTCCTCCCGCTTCACTCAGGTGTCTCTTTTTCAGGGAGAGGGTCCCTGATGCCCCAGTCCATGCCACATCCCTTCTTACGTGCTCTCCATTCCCCCACCAACCATGCTCACCTCAGTTGTGAACTGCATGTTTATTTTTGCAGGTCTGTTTTGTCCCATAACTGTCCATCGAGGTAGGGGCTTGCTCATTACTTTATCCCCAGCACTCAGTCCAATGCCTGGCAAATAGTAGGTGCTCAGTAAAGGATGAATCCAAATTTACAGTGAGGAGACAGGTTCAGAGAGGGGAAGCAACTTTCCCCAAAATAAGTGGAAGAATCCGGCTTTACATTGTGACCTGCCTGATTCCAAAGCCGGTGCTCTCAGCCTCTTTGCTAGGTGTGTCCCAGCAGACACAAGCCTGGGGTGCCTAGAGTCAGGTGGAGGCACCAATGCGGGCCCACCCCATACCCTCACTGTGGTCTGATAGGGTCTGGCTGGGCAGGGTGGTGGCAATTGCCTACTGTATGAGAAAGAATCAGTGTTGACAGACAGGAGCAGGTACCCACAGCCCTGCACCAGTGGGCAATGCACACTTGCCTAAATGGCTCATGGAGGCGGGCCCATGCTCCAGGGGAGGAGCCGTGACTCAGGCGTTGCTCCCTCTCCCTCAGGCTGACTCAGGTCCCTCCCTGGCCCCACCTGGGGCTCAATGACAGACAGCAATGGGGAGCAAGTGGGGGGTGTGGTAGGCTGCTTGCAGGCAAGGATGAGGGCTCCCACAGCCAGAGCAAAGCTGTCCTTGTGCTGCCTCCAGGTCCCCATGCCCCCAGTGGATGATGCCTTCCCTACTGGGGATACCTTGCAAGTGGAATCTTTGGTTCCCTCTCTGTCCCTCTGTCTGCCTACCTGGGTCCTCACAGCCCCTTCTCTCCTACTCCATCCACTCCCCAAGGGGAGGGCCTGCATTTGGGATGCTGGCACTGGCATAGGCTGCAGCCTTGCACATCGTCGGTAGAGAGGCAGCGTCGATTCTCACCGGGTCTCAGGTGCCGGCTGCCTCGGGCTCCATGCTTTTCATTCCTGGTTCGTTCTTTGGAGGGTTCCCATGGGAGGTGTTGAAGGTGGGGCTCAGAGTGCAGACTCTGAGCCCTGAGAAGCTGGAAGAGTGGGCCACGTCACAGGACCTAGAAGAAATCACTCACTAAGACCTGCAGTTGGTTTTCCTCCTCCCTGACCCATCTTGCCCAGTCTGATTACCCATGCCAGGCAGAGAGCTTGGGAGAAGGGAAAAGATGGTGCCCAGCTGCAACTAGAGTAAGATGTCCTATCGGGACCACAGGCGTTGCCAGCTCCTCTTTGTATTGGAACAAGCCAGATGTGGGGGGAGGAGGGCCAGTGTGGCGGGGGCTACATGTGGGCAGCAGTTGGGCATTCATCTAGGGAGCCCTCTGTTTTTATGGCCCTTGGCAACACTACACATAGGGGCTTCACATGAGGAAACTGAAGCCAACTTTGAGGACCACAGGGGAAGGGAGGGTGAGGTTGGCAGGTGGCCCAGCCCTGCCTCTCTGGGGAGCTCCTGCTCTCTCCACCCCACAGTGGTCCCCATGCACAGTTTGCTTTCCCCGGGCAGCTGGGAGGAAATCTGAGGGATGAAGCCTGCTGCTCTGGGCTGAGTGAGGCTTTGAGCAGGGCTGGAGGGTGGGAAGTGGAGAAGGTGAGTGAGGACAGGGATTGGGGTTTGGCACCAGGGCTGGAAGCCAGGGCCACCTATCAAGAAGGTTAGCTGGCCAGGGGTGCCCCAGCTGGGAGCTTCTGCTCAGTCAGGAGAGTTTCAACTGTTCTCAGGATCTCCCAACACAGACACATTTGCAGATGACAGAGCAGATTCTGGAAGCACCACTCTGCTGGCTCTCTCCGCAGTGGCCCATCCACAGCACCACCAACTTCTCCATCCAGCTCAGGGGTCCAGGACCCGGGGCTTACTTCCCAACCAGAACGGCAGCCTTAGCCTGGGGATGGGGAAGAAGGTAACTTCCCAGGCCTGGGACCATGCTGCCAGCAGGTTCCGGGCCCCTCAGGAGAGCTTAGCGAAGACCTTGAATGATTTTAAACCATTTAAGAAAGTAGAAAGGGAATGAACTCATACCCACTAGCCTTGATCTAAGAGTCTCCCATGTATTATGCATTCATAAAATGCCTTCAGTATTCTCTGACTATTGAGTAAAAGAGAATTAAATTCTGTTTTAATTCTCAAAAATAAAACTACTTGTTTAATTTTAACATATTTTGTACCACCCATTTAAATATTTATTTGACACATTCTGGTAAATTAACTCACCTTTCATTTCAACAAATATGTTTATAAAGGAAATGACATTACTACCAAAAGAGGAAAATCATAATCACCTGCCAGAAGCAGAAGGAAATGATATACAGACTTAACTTCTAATTAGATGCTGTTACTTTCTAAAGGTTCTGAGCCCAAAGCTGGCTCTGTTTTTTTGAACAGGGTGATTGACAAGTGTGGCAGGTTGTTATAGAGGCCACAGTGTCCAAATGAGATTTCCTCCTTGACTAATCAGAAGATTGAAAGTTAGAAAAAGAGGCCAGGTGCAGTGGCTCATGCCTATAATCCCAGCACTTTGGGAGGCTGAGGCAGGAGGCTCTTTTGAGCCCAGGAGTTCCAGATCAGCCTGGGCAACATAGTAAGACCCCATCTTTATGAAAAAAAAAAAAAATTAGCTGAGCATGGTGGTGTGTGCCTGTGGTCCCAGCTACTTGGGAGGCCGAGGCTGAAGGCTGACTTGAGCCCAGGAGGTCGAGGCTGCAGTGAGTTGTGATCACGCCACCGCACTCCAGCCTGGATGACAGCGTAAGAGCCCGTCTCAAAACAAACAAATAAACAAACAAACATGGAAAAAGGAAATCTCTCCAACGGCTTCAGTATTATTCTTATTTTTTGAGATGGAGTCTCGCTCTGTCGCTCAGGCTGGAGTGCGGCGGCGTGGATCTCAGCCGCGTGGATCTCAGCTCACTGCAACCTGTGTCGCCCAGGCTCAAGCGGTTCTCGTGCCTCAGCCTCCTGAATAGCTGGGATTTCAGGCGTGCACCACCATACCCAGCTATTTTTTGTATTTTTAGTAGAGACAGGGTTTCTCCATGTTGCCCAGGCTGGTCTCAAACTCCTGAGCTTAGGCGATCTGCCACCTCAGCCTCGCCAAGTATTGGGATTACAGGCGTGAGCCACT